GAGAGTATGCTCATTTGGTTAGAGATGTAGAGTAAACAGTTGGATATATATGGTTGGGAATTCAAAGAAGTTTGAGTTGGAGATGTACATTTGAGAATTATCAGCATAAAGATTTTTTTTTTTTTTTTAAATAGAGATGGCATCTTGCTCTGTTGCCTAAGCTGGAGTACAGTGATGCAGTCACAGCTAATTGCAGCCTTGAACTACTTGTTAAAGTGATTCTCCCGCCTTAGCCTGCTGAATAGCTAAGACTATGGGCGCACGTCACCATGCCTGTGTGAATTTTTTATTTTTTATTTTTTGTAGAGATAGGGTCTTGCTAAGTTCCCAGCCTTGTCTAGAATTACTGGCCACCAAGTGATCTCTCATCTTGGCCTCTGGAAAGTGCTGGATTGTAGGCATAAAGACAATATTTAAAGACATGGTAGTTGATCAGTCAGAATTTAAGTACAGGTTTGGTGCCAGACCACCCACAATAAAGTGAATATCTTAGTAAAGCTAGTCAGACTAATTATTTGGTTTTCCCAGTGCATATGAAGTTATATTTACACTATACTGTAGTCTGTTAAGTTGCAATGGTATTATGTATAAAAAAACCAATGTACATACCTTTTTTTGAAATTTTTTTATTTTTTAAAAATTAAAAATTTAATATTTTTTCTTAACAGCTTCTGATTTTTTAAATTATTTTAAAAAAATTAAAAATAAATAGGGGGCGCTGGTTATGTTGTTATCCTGCTTGGGAGCCGAGGCGGCGCGATTGCTCAAGGTCAGGAGTTCAAAACCAGCCTGAGCAAGAGCGAGACCCCGTCTCTACTATAAATAGAAAGAAATTAATTGTGCCAACTGATATATATATAAAAATTAGCCGGCATAGTGGCGCATGCCTGTAGTCCCAGCTACTCGGAGGCTGAGGCAGAAGGATCACTGGAGCCCAGGAGTTTGAGGTTGCTGTGAGCTAGGCTGACGCCACGGCACTCACTCTAGCCTGGACAACAAAGCGAGACTCTGTCTCAAAAAAAAAAAAAAAACAAGAAATAAAAAAAAAAAAAAAAAAAAAAAGAATATCTTCTCCAAACTGTTTCTCTTCCAATAATCCCTAATGACACCAATCATCCCATTGCATAAGCCAGAAATTTAGGGCTCAATTTTAACTCTCTTTCCCTCATTCTAAATACAATATCAAGTTCTGTACATTTTCCCTTTTTAGTCTCTCTCAAATCAGCCTTATTTCTAAATCATCACCATTGTCTTTCACGTGGACTACGACAAGTTCCTAATTAGTCTCTCCACTTCCACTCTTATATTCGTCAATTCAGTAAACAAAGACCTAAAGTCAAATCATCTCTTTTCCAATGCTTAAAAAACTGTAATGGTTTGCCAGTGTACATTAAAGGATATAAATATTGCAATGAATATGGTCCAAAAAAGTACAAAAATTTTTAAAAAGACAAGAAAAAAACAAAACAAAATAAAAAAATAAAGGATAATATTAAAAGTCTTTATCACACCCTATTTGCCTATATGATCTGTTTCCTACTCTCCAACCACATATCTTCACTTATATCCTCTAGAACACAGACACTTTCTCAGTCCATGATCACCCCCATCATCATCCTAGCCTAACATAGAGCCTTTCCAAAAAATACCCCTCAATTATCTACCTAACAAAATTTGATTTACTCAAGATAATTTATGTATCACCTCCTCTGGGAAGCCTTATCTGATATCCTTCTTCCTTCCCATCTCTTCTTTCCCAACCTCAAGCAAAGAATTAGGTTTACTACCTCTGATTCCCATCATATTCTACAACAGTCATTACTGTATTCGCTAAAACAGAGATAAGTTTAAAATTCATGGTTTGCTACTCCCATGAGAGTATGTGCTTTTAAAGGTGAATTACTAGTCAGGTGCAGAGGCTATGCCTATAGTCCCAGTACTTTGGGAGGCTGAAGCAAGGGGATCACTTGAGGCCAAGAGTGTGAGACCAGCCTGAGCAAACACAGCAAGACCCTGTCTCTACCAAAAATTTAAAAATTAGCTGGACATGGTGGCATGTGTCTGTAGTCCCAGCTACATAGGGAAGCTGAGGCAGGAGGATCACTTGAGCCCAGGAGTTTGAAGTTGCTGTGAGCTAGGCTGATGTCATGGCACTCTACCCCAGGAGTCAGAAGGAGGCTCTGTCTCCAAAAAAAAAAAGGTTAGAACATAAAGAAAGAAAATTATTTCATTTTTCATAAAGATTTCTTGACACTAACACTTGCTTAGATTATCTTTCAATATCACTTTTATTCATTGTTTATATATGGCTTCAGTGACTAAAGATTTTATGTAAAATGTGAAGAAAAGCTCACAAATGGGAAGAATCAGACAACCTAAACAAAAAGTAACTACAGAACCTCCTCTTCCAATAATTTTAAACAGTCAGGCAGACATATTGTAAATATGTACATAAGTACTCATAGCTTACTATACCTACTAATACCTACAAAATCCTTTTTGTTCTAAAACTACCTTCTAGAAAAAGCAATAAGTTGAAGTCAGTTAAAATTTAAAACTTTTCAGGTCGGGAGTGGTGGCTCACACCTGTAATCCTAGCACTCTGGAGACAGAGGTGGGAAGATCCTTTGAGCTCAGGAGTTCAAGACCAGCCTGAGCAAGAGTAAGATCCTGTCTCTACTAAAAATAGAAAAATTAGCCGGGCATGGGCACAAGCCTGTAGTCCCAGCTACTCAGGAGGCCGAGGCAGAAGGATCAGTTGAGCCCAGGTGTTTGAGGTTGCTGTGAGCTAGGCTGATGCTATGGTACTCTACCTAGGATGACAGAGTGAGACTGTGTCTCACAAAAAAAAAAAAAAGAAAGAAAGAAAACTTCACTCTTCAAAAGAAACTGTTAAGAAAATGAAAAAGCAAGTCACAGACTGGAGAAAACATTTGCAAAAGCGTATATTCAACAAAAGACTTGTATTTACAATACAGTCATGCACCTCATCTTGACTTTTCAGTAAAAGACAGGCATGATGGCCCCATAAAATTATAATGGAGCTACCCTGTTATAGGTGTACCATTTTTATCTTTTATACAGTATTTTTAGTGTACCTTTTCTATGTTTAGATACAGAAACACAACTGTGTTACAACTGGCCTACAGTATTCAGTACAGTACTTGCTGTACAGGTTTGTGGCCTACAAGCAATAGGCTATATCAAATAACCTAGGTATACAGTAGGCTATACCATCCAGGTTTGTGTAAGTACACTCTATGATGTTCACACAACAAAATCACCTAATGACACATCTTTCAGAACATATCCCCATTGTTAAGACATATGACTGTATACAAGGAACTCTAACAACTCAGTAAGATTTGGGAGGCCAAGGTGGGAGGATTGCTTGAGCTCAGGAGTTCAAGACCAGCCTGAGCAAGAGTGAGACCTTGTCTCCACAAAAAATAGAAGAAAAAAAATTAGCCAGGCATGGTGATACATGCCTGTAGTCCCAGCTACTTGGGAGGCTAAGGCAGGAGGAAAACTTAAGCCCAGGAGTTTGAGGTTGCAGTAAGCTGACGCCACTGCACTCCACCCACGGTGACAGAAAAAGACTCTGTCTCAAAAAGAAAAAATCAGCAAAAGATTTGGACACTTCACAAAAGAAGGTACATGAATAGCCAAGAAGCACACTGAAAGATGCTCAACATTAAACCACAATAAGATATTACCTCACATCTATTACAATGGCTAAAATTAGAAAGACTGACCATACCAAGTGTCCTACAGGATATGGAGCAAATAGAACTCTAATACATCAATGGTGGAAATGGAAAAGAGGTTGGCAGTTTCTGAAAAAGTTAAACATATACCTGCCATATGACCCAGTCATTCCTCTCCTTGAGATTTACACAATAGAAATGAAAAGTATATGCCTTACAAAGAACCGTACATGAAAGTTCATAGCAGGTTTATTTGCACTAGTCAAAAACTGGAAAAAATCCAAATGACCAACAACAGATGAACAGATAAATTGGAATCTATCTATAACAATGAAATACTACTCAGCAATAAAAAGGAATAAACTACTGAAACATGCAACAATCTGGAAAAGTATCAAAATAATTATGCCGAGTGAAAGAAGCCAGACATGTATGCCTCCAAAAAGAGTACGTACTAGGTTTCCACCTACTTAAAAAACAAAATTCCAGAAAATACAAACTAATCTATAGTGACAGAAAGCTGATCAGTAGTTGCCTGAGGAGGGAGGGATTACAAAGACACAAGAGAAAACTTTGAGGGGTGATAGTTTCATAGGAGATATATATGTGTTTAATCAAAATTTATCAACTGTACGCTTTAAACTTTATTATATATCAAACTCAATAAAGATTAAAAAATCCACAATAAAAATCATTTAAAAAACAAAAACCTTCCAGATTCCCAGTCTTGGTGTCGGTGTCAACCCATTTCAGCGCTAGGAACCGCCTCTCTTCCTTAGCCTTCCTCCATCTCAAAACTGACACTAGTCCCTTTTCTTTCCGAGGGGAAAGTTGAACCCTAAAAGGCTCACAAACTTCAGACTAAGCTTCGACTTACTGCCCAATGTATTCCCAGATCCTCGGCTCATGCCCCACAAACCTACCCTCCCGTTAGCAACACTTAGCCTTACAGGAATAATGACAAGTGTCCCCCGTACGCCCTCCACGCCTCCCGTCCTTGCTCCCAAACACTCATCCACGAAGCTTCATACGACCTAACACATCTAGGTCCTAAAGCACCACCAATGGCCACGGTACCACCGAAAGCCGCGCTCCTAATCGGCCCGCCCCCGAACCCACGCGAGTGCGGGGATTCGAACACCCCAGCTCCCAGGCTACCTGCCACCGGCTGGCCGCGCCGCGGACAGTTCAGCCACCGCGGCGGGATCTTGTTGTGAGCCATGTCTTGGGGGGCCACGCAGAGCCGCCCCCTTCACCAACGCTCGCCGAGCCTTTGCCGCAGCCTCTCCGCAGGTGGTCCGAGACACCGGAGGTCCGAGACACCTGAATCCCAATCGAGACGCGAATTCCAGCTGCTCCGATCCGGGTAACGTAAGCGGCGCGCCACTTTCATTCAGGCTCAACTCCCCGGCTTGGCCAAGCCCATAATGCACCGCGACTTCCGCCTCTGGAGGCCCCGCCCCCTTCGTTCCGAGGTCAAAGGGGAAGAGAAGTATGCTCGGCGGAGGAATAGCAAGGAGTTAAAGCCGAAGGGAATGGAAGAGGCGGGTTTCCCCCCACCCCGCCCCGCCGACGGGCCGCTGTGCTCCCAGCTTGCCCCTGCGCATGCGCTATTGATATCGTATTGGACCCGGGAGGTCGGCGCGTTTTTTCCCACGTAGACAACTGAGTGGAAGTTCTCTAAAGGAAAAAAAGCCAAGCTTCCTTCCGCGCGAAGACTGGCCCGCTGCTTTCGTAAAGGCATCTGTTTTACTGATGAAAAGGGCCTTCCTTCATTGACCACTTCTGTCTAAAAAAAGAAAAATAAAGAAAAGAAAAGGGCCTTCCCACCGCTATCACAGCTCAATCTTGGTGTTCCGGCGGATCTGGGTTTGATTTGCAATTTGGGAAAGTCCTCCCTGACGGTAGGTTCAGGGGAACAAGTTTTAGGGAAATTCTAAGAGCGTAATATTGGAGTACCAGAAATGGGGAATTTTTCTTTTGGTGGGTACTTCTGAAAATCCATAAAGCATCTGAAATTAATTTCAAAACATTTTAAGAGTTTTGTTTGTGCATTTCTGGAGCGAAGTTGAAAAAACGTATTTGAGAATCTCAGACGGTCCATGTTTCAAAAACAGGTTACTAATTGACGTGTATAATTGACAAAGGCAGGAACTTCCCAGTGGAATACCACTTAATGGCGGTGTTTTCTTTTGCCTAACAAAGTCCTTTTTATTTTTTCTTCCAGTTAAGCAGAGGTACTTGGAAGCATTTTACTAATGCCTTTAATAAGACTTTCTTCAGTTGCCAGACTCCGTTAAAGTGTTAAATATAAAGCTAAATAATGGCAGATTAATTATAATGTACTTTGACTTTAAGCACCAATGCTGTATTTGAACCGCAAGAGTGTGAGGCTGCAGGATGTACATTTTTAGAGAGTCAGTGGGAAGCTTTCTGGACAGCTCAGCCCTTGAACCTTGACCCTCTCTCACTAAGAGTCGCATTAGTATAGAGAATCAGATGGCTTTCTCACTGAGGCAGTCTAAATTAGGTCACACTCCTGGTCTGTTCTGCTGTTACATCTCAGACCTTTTAATGAAAGTGTCACTCCTTCCCTGACAAGACAATGTAAGACCCAGTTTCCTTACAGTTTGTCCAAATGATGCCCAATTAATTCCCTTATCTGTTGGCAGGGTGGAGTGTGGACCATGTCCAAAGTAGTGAAATATTTGACTCCCAAACCCCCTCCAGCGTTGGGAAAGGTGAACCTAGTCCTGGAAGAATATTTCATCTTCTTCTGGGGAACATTCTCATTGAGACTGTCCTTCCCATACACACTGCGTCCACCCACAGAGCTCAGTCCTAGGCACAGGGAGAGCTTCATATCACTGGCAAGCATTTGTTACTGGTTGTAGGCAGCAATGTGTTTATTTTTTATTCCACTATCCAGTTACACCCTCTCCATACTCAGTGGCACAGATTGGCTTCCATTTGCCTACAGTAGAGGGTAGAGTAGGAGACTGGCATCCAAATTAATGGGTAGTTTCTCTCTCCCTACCAGGAATCTCTTGCCTGGGGGGTGTTTCTGCCTAATATGGTTCCTAGTACCAGGTCTCTGCTATTTGGCAAGAAGAAAAAGATGCCCACAGAGGGAGCAGCATGGCTCCTCGCTGGCTTCCTGGAACCCCCAACTCATCCTCCCAAATATGTCCTGGCCTCCTCTTTATTGGCTGTAGATTGTTTTCATGGGTGAATTCTTCCATCAAACATCCATTTCTCCCATAAGGAAAGGTTTGTAAGGGTAAATAAAAAGAAGGTTGAACTTTTCCTAGTTCCCAGTTGGCAAAAGGGAAAAAGACTTTTCCCCTTTCCCTTTTCTTACAGCATTTCCTTGAGAAAACTTTTGTTTATAAATCCTTCCTTTTCACCTGGATATGTAGATAAATCTTTTTAAGAGCTAAGTAAACCTCTTACCTGCCTCACAACTCAGGAATGTTTTTTTAGGGTCTGGGAGCTCTCTCTGAAATGTAAACATTAAGGAAGACAGTGTCCCTATCTCCCTGTCACCTTGGGAGTTTAGCCTAATGCACCTTGTTCCTACCTGCTTGTGTTAGAAATAGGAAAATTTGTCTACAGCCATACCACCCTGGACATGCCTGATCTCAGAAGCTAAGCAGGGTCGTGCCTGGTTAATACTTGGATAGGAGAAATAGGACAATTTTATTTTTCTTTCTGGTAATGGCAATTCACTAACTTAGATGGCCACTGCTAATAACCAAGTGAAACTAGGATGAACTGTCAAAGAATGTATAGCAAGTGGTATTGCCAAGTCCTCTTACATGAGAACAAATTATCTTGGGAACATATATGTAATGGATTATGTGAGCTTAGCTATATAAAAGAGTGAGACGTCTATCTTTGCAATCTCATTAGCGGATTATCTGTGATGTATATTCCAGTCTGATTTGATGCTTCTGTTATAATAAGACTTTTCTTTTTTTAAAATATACATTTATGGAAAGGATTTTCTGAATTGGCAGGAGATTTTATTCCTAATTTTTCCCCAGAAAGTGTTTATGCCTCACTGAACTACTAAAGGCTATCACAGAAATGTGCCTCCTCTGTGACCAAACGGTGCTCTCTCAAGCCTTGCTGTGGAATTCAGTCTCTGGCTCCATGCATGTCCAAAAATGATTGATTAAAGATTGAGCCTGTTTTTTCCACTAGCCAGCTATCCAGAGTATGTGGAAAGATGCTCTCATCTGGCTTCCCAAAAGTCAGCAAAGTGTCAAAGAAAGACATTAGCTTTGTTGATCATTCCTCATCCTTTCTAGCTGCCATCCTTTCTAGCTTTGTCTAGCTCTCTTTCTCATACTGATGACCCACAACCTCTGCCACCTGCCTGTACTGTAACAGCTTCAGTAAATGGGAGAAGTTCAAGAGATCATGTTTAGGTCATTTTTGGAGCCAAGGAAGAACACTGCAGTCATATCTCACATGGAGGTTAGATTCTAAACTCAGGTTTTTGGGCAAAAGATGACAAATTCAGAATTACTTTCCATTGTTGTTTCTTCTTCATTTGAGCACCAACTGAAGTCATTGACTAGGGTATTTAGGGCCCTGTTATACAAAACCCAGCAATCTTTAAACAACAGAATCATGCTTTTATGCAGCTAGGTGCTCCTCTTCAAGAGATCTAGGTTCACATCTTACTCCAGGGCACAGGTTCAGATAGTAAAACAATAAGCCAAGCAACCTCTCTCTCTTGCATGCCTACACTTTTAAATTCATATGAGCTGAATGTAGATGCAATATTACATCACTGTAGTTACATTAGTACCTGCTAACAGCCATTCTAATATTGTAAACCAGAAGAGGATTTACCATGAGGCTTCTTACTTCAACAAGCTCCTTCCAAGGCCAAAGTAGGTATTTGTAATTTATATTTTTTTTTTTTTTTTTTTTTTTTGAGACAAAGTCTGGCTCTGGTGCCTGGGCTAGAGGGCCATGGCATCAGCGTAGCTCACAGCAACTTCAAACTCCTGGACTCAAGCATTCCTCCTGCTTCAGCCTCCCAAGTAGCTGGGACTACAGGCATGCACCACCATGCCTGGCTAATTTTTTCTATGTATTTTTAGTTGTCTGGCTGATTCTTTGTAGTTTTAGTAGAGACGAGATCTCACTCTTGCTCAAGCTGGTCTCGAACTCCTGAGCTCAAGCAATCCTCCCACCTCTGCCTCCCAGAGTGCTAGGATTACAGGCGTGAGCCACTGCGCCTGGCCTGTAATTTATATTCTTAACCTTATAGCGGGCCCCCAAAGTTGCATGAGTTCAAGCTTGTTATGAGTTGAATTGTGTCCACCACAAAAGGTATGTTGAAGTCCTGACTCCTTACTTCAGAATATGATCATATTTGGAAATTGGGTCTATACAGAGGTAATCAAGTTAAAATGAAAAATGAAATCATTGGTGTGGGCCCTTATTCAATATGGCTGCTATCTTTTTTTTTTATTTTTTTATATATCTTTTAAAAATTTTTTAAATATATTTTATACTTTTATTTCTTCACCTTCTAATATTTAGGTCTAATGGCTGCTATCTTTTTTTCTCTCTCTTTTTTTTTAATTTTTTTTTTTTTTTTTTTTTTTTTTGAGGCAGAGTCTCACTCTGTTTCCTAGGCTAGAGTCACAGCAACCTCAAATTCCTGGGCTCAAGCAATCCTTCTGCTTTAGCCTCCCGAGAAGCTGGGACTACAGGCATGCATCACCATGCCCGGCTAATTTTTTTCTATATATTTTTAGTTGGCCAATTAATTTCTTTCTATTTTTAGTAGAGACGGGGTCTCGCTCTTCCTCAGGCTGGTTTCAAACTCCTGACCTTGAACAATTCACCTGCCTGGGCCTCCCAGATTGCTAGGATTACAAGTATGAGCCACCATGCCCAGCTAGCTGCTATCTTTTAAACGGTGGAAATAGAGACACACACACACCAAGGGAAGACGATTTGAAAATAGCCATGTGCCTGGGATAATGTATCTCCAAGTCAAGGAATGTCAGCGATTGCTGGTGAACATGAGAGGCCAGAAGAAAGAAGAGAGAATTCTTCCCCAGAGCTATCAGAAGGAACATGGCCCTGCCCACACCTTGATTTTAGATTTCTAGCCTCCAAAACTGTGAGACAATAAATTTCTGTTGTTTTAAGCCATCCAGTTTTTGTTCTCTGAACCAAGTCTCTATCTTCAGTATAAATGCAGCCAACTTTTCTCAAGTTCTTTTTTTTTTGCTCTTTTTCCTATTTTCTTTATTCCTCCCATTTCCCCCTTCTTCTTTCCTTCTTTCTTTTGTTTGTTTGTTTATCCAGAATGCAACACTACACCCAAGTTTTTTTAAAGATGAATTTACCTGTTATGCTCTTGGGCTTTTAGTGTCCCAAAAGCTTGTTCTAAAGAACTCAGACATTCAGCCACCAATACTAAATCACTCTTTAAGTGCACTGAAGTCTTCAAAGGCAGCAACCATTAGGTACTTCTTCAGGTGGCAAGCGCTGATTCAAATACAGGCCAGCATCTCCATTGTCCTCACTGGCCAGGAGTCTGCTGTCCCTCTTCTGAGGCAGTTATCCACCCCAAGAACATGACTTCAGACTCCAGATGTTCATCTTCCATCAGAAGGCTCTCCCACTCTTTGTTTGTTTGAAACAGAGTCTCACTTTGTCACCGTAGGTAGAGTACAGTGGTATCATTGTAGCTCACTGCAACCTCAAACTCCTGGGCTCAAGTGAACCTCCTGCCTCAGCCTCCCAAGAAGCTAATATAGGCCGTGCCACGACACTAGACTAATTTTTCTGTTTTTTAGAGACGGGGGTCTCACTCTTGCTCAGGCTGGTCTTGAACGCCTGACCTCAAGTAATCCTCCCACCTTGGCCTCCCAGAATGCTAGGTTACAGGCATGAGCCACCACGCCCCGCCTCTCCCACTGTTTTAGTGTCCTAGGGCTGCTGTAACAAAGGGCCACAAACTGGTAGCTTAAAACAATAGGAATGTATTCTCTCCCAGTTCTGGAGGCTAGAAGTCCAAGATCAAGATGTTGGTGGGGCCATGTTCCCTCCAAAGCTTCTAAGAGAAGATCCTTCTTTGCCTCTTCCAGCTTCTGGTAAGCTCCAGAAATTTGTCTGCCATATGTCTTCCTCTTCAGAGAATTTTGAAAGTTGATAGAATCAAAATGGAGTCATTTGTGTTTAAAAAAAAGAAAGAAAGAAACCTGACATACAGAGGTGGGGAATACTATGAAGAGAGGGTTCTCGCACTTGTATGCCTGATAACAAACACTGAAAACACTGCAGAAACCACAACCTTGCACAAAAGTCATTGCAACCTTACACAAAAAAATACTTCTGCAAAGACATCTGCTCAGGAACTGCCTGTCCCACCCCAAACAGATGTCACCCTTGTTATTGATTTTTGTAGCCAAGGATAATAATTTCAAAACAATTATGTAATCCTCCTCAATTCTTCCTTTAAAAACTTTTGCCAGCCAGGCGAGGTGGCTCACGCCTGTAATCCTAGCACTCTGGGAGGCAGAGGCGGGTGGATAGCTCGAGGTCAGGAGTTTGAAACCAGCCTGAGCAAGAGCAAGACCCCGTCTCTAGTATAAATAGAAAGAAATTAATTGGCCAACTAATATATATAGAAAAAATTAGCTGGGCATGGTGGCGCATGCCTGTAGTCCCAGCTACTTGGGAGGCTGAGGCAGTAGGATCACTACTACTGCCAGGAGTTTGAGGTTGAGTTTGAGGTTGCTGTGAGCTAGGCTGATGCCATGACACTCACTCTAGCCTGGGCAACAAAGTGAGACTCTGTCTCAAAAAACAAACAAACAAACAAAAAAAAACTTTTGTCTTCCTTTACCTCCCTGAATATACTCATAGTTTACTATGGTACATATATTCCCATTGCAATGCCCTGTTCCCAAATAAACATCATTTTCTTTTAGAGAGTCTCTCCCTGTTTGTCATTTAGGTTGACAGTAACATGCAGTCTTTAGAAAGTCAGAGACTGAGATAGAGGCCTTCACAATCATCTTCCATGTCTTTCCCTTTGTTTCTATACTGCTAGGGGCTGCAGAGAATGAAATAGCAAATTCAACTTCACCCTGCCTGCCTTCTGCCAACAACTCGGAACCTGCTTTAGGAGTTTAAAGTTTTCATTAACATGTTTTCAAATTTGATCTCCTCAGAGGTTCCAGGTATTCCCTCACTAATCAGTGACTTCTAAAGGCCCAAATTCACGTCTGTCCAAATTCATATCAATTCCTGAATAAGATCTCAACTTGAAATGACTCCAGTTCCTGGGCTGCAAATATACACCCAACCCTGAACAGGCTCCTACACAGAGAGATCTAATTTTCCAGCCACAAAACTGCGTGCAAGAATATGGCATTCCTTTAGTCTCTATAAATGAACTTAATTTTGATTCTGAGTCCTCTTCCTGATAAATAGGAAAGAAATTCTAGTTCTAGCATTTTGGGGCTTCCTGCTCCCACATCTCTCACTAGAATTATATTTTGGTTCTAAGGGCTCAGATAACACATTTCCAAGAAGAGAGGGAAGGCAAAGGTTGGCCTCTTGTTACTGACCATCTGGCCACACAGCTTGCACTGATCCCTGCTATGGCTCCCTGAAGTCCAGCAGCTCGCTACTGCTTCTCAGCCACACTGTGGGAAGGGGAATGTTTTGTGAGGCTGAAAACCCTGTTGATCAGGCCGCCTATTTCTGGGGGTTCCTAAAGTCATTCCTCTTTAAGGCACTACAAGGGAGCTGTGCTTGGATGCCCAAAACTCTATAGAGTAATATCCAACATGTTCCTTCACTGAGAAGACAATCCCAAAGGAAGCATTAAATCAGTACATGTGGCTGGATAATGCTTTGAGAAATTCCTGTTTTTAAGGGAGATCTCAAACTCCTGAGCTTAAGCAATCCTCCACCTCGGCCTCCCAGAGTGCTAGATTACAGGCGTGACCCACTGTACCCAGCCCTATTATTTTATGTATAATAAAAAATTTTTTAAAAATGTGTATGTGTGATCATTTCCCCTGAATAGTGAGCGATTTGATGTATTTGTGTTAAAAGATAAAACTAGGCCGGGTGCTGTAGCTCACACCTATAATTCTAGCACTCTGGGAGGCCGAGGCGGCCGGATTGCTTGAGCTCAGGAGTTCGAGACCAGCCTGAGCAAGAGTGAGACCCCACTTCTACTAAAATATAGAAAGAAATTAGCTTTAGATAAGTAAAAAAAATTTACAAGTAATTAGACAAAATTAGACAAAAATTTACAAGAAATTAGACAAGTTAAAAAAAAAAATATATATATATATGAAATTAGCTGAGCTTGGTGGTACACGCCTGGAGTCCCAGCTACTCAGGAGGCTGAGGGAAGAGGATCGCCTGAGCCTAGGAATTTGAGGTTGCTGTGAGCTAGGCTGACACCAGGGCACTCTAGCCCGGGCAACAGAGTAAGACGCTGTCTCAAAAAAAAGAGATAAAACTAGAATTCGCCATAATTTCTATACAAGTGAAAGTGAACCACATATGGACACTAGATGGAGCTAAAGACCAGTTAATCTAACCTTCCACTGTTTTGTAACCAAGAAGGTGGGTCAGTCAGTCAGGTTCTTCAACTACACATGGGTGTGCCTATTCCAAATATTGGATTTGGCCTGGGTTCACCAAACTCATAATAACAGGGCAGCCTGACCTACCAATGATTAAATAACAGTGACTAGCAAGGTAACTCTGCTATCCAGCTTATATAAGTTTCTTCATTGGAAAATATTAACAGTTAAAAGGAAAAACAAAAAAAACACAAAAAATTAGCCAGGTGTGGTGGCACGTGCCTGTAGTCCCAGCTACTCAGGAGACTGAGGCAGGAGAATCACTTGAGCCCAGGAGTTTGAAGTTGCTGTGAGCTAGGCTGACGCCACGGCACTCTAGTGCAGGCAATAAAACGAGACTGTCTCAAAAAAAATAAAAAAGGAAAAACAAATAATTGCTTTCTTCACACTGCTATCAAGGCATGGAGGTTTTCAGAGATAATAACTGTGTGCTTCTGTATGCCATAAAAAATTTAATTCTGTTTAAATTGTGTGGAACACAGTCTGCCTTTTCATTTGAGAATAATACAACTTTATGTGTGGATTGTGCCTTACCTTGCACAAAGTATTTGTTCAGAGATGATCTAAAGTAATCTAATCCTCACAGTTGTGTAAGGTAGACATTGCTATTATCTCCATTTTATAGATGAGGAAACATGCTCAGAGAGAGTTTCAATAACTTGCCCCAAACCTCCCACCAGGAAGCTGAGAAACCAGGCAGTGAGGGGGTGTGGGGTGCTGGAACCTGCCAGCAGAGGCAGGAAACCTTACCTGTGTTGGACGCTCAGAGGAACAATCACCCCTCCCCTTCGAGGCCTGGTTTTCTGTTTTTTCCATTTGAAAAATGAATAAATGGGCAACATTTTCTCCCAAAATAGCCTTCATATGTCTCAAAAATTTGGAATAGATTTACTCTGGCTTCTCAAAATGGAAGAATCTTCAGCCCTCCTCCCCCCTGTTATGCAGTAGAGACAGGGTCTCGCTCAGGCTGGTTTTGAACTCCTGACCTTGAGCAATCCGCCTGCCTCGGCCTCCCAGAGTGCTAGGATTATAGGCGTGAGCCACCACGCCCGGCAGTTCATCCATCTTAAAGATCAATCAGTAGTACTTCATTCCTTTTTATATCCAGCCTTGAATTTCTTATTGGCTTGCCATAGCCAGCAGGGATAAAGTCTGTAGTGATATATCATTCAAGAGTCTTCAAGATCTAAAGGATAGACTGGAACAAGGAAGGCGCTGAGCTTAAACTGTCAAGTTCGGTGGACACTGGCAGCGCGCTGATCTGAAGAAACGTTTTGTGATTTTCGGCGCTAGCACATCATCTGGAGGTGTAAGTCCGAAGGTCCGGACCCAGCTGAAAGAAATGGGACGCCGTTCATCAGATACTGAGGAAGAAAGCAGAAGCAAGAGAAAAAAGAAACACCATAGACAGTCATCATCGAGCAGTTCTTCAGATGGTAGAACATACAGCCGAAAGAAAGGAGGAAGGAAGTCAAGATCAAAGTCAAGATCTTGGTCCAGGGATCTTCAGCCTCATTCACATTCTTATGACAGAAGACGCAGACATCGATCAAGCAGTAGCTCTTCTTATGGCTCTAGAAGAAAACGAGGTCGAAGTCGTTCAAGGGGTCGAGGGAAATCCTATAGAGTTCAGAGGTCTAGGTCAAAAAGCAGAACAAGAAGGTCCAGGTCAAGACCTCGTCCACGTTCTCATAGTCGAAGCAGTGAAGGGTCCAGTCACAGAAAAACCCATAGTCGGTCTTGGGATAGAGAACGTCGTAAAGGGAGAGAGAAAGAGAAGAGAGAAAAGGAGAAGGATAAAGGCAAGGACAAGGAGTTACACAACATCGAACGCGGGGAATCTAGAAACATCAAAGCTGGATTAGAACACCTGCCACCAGCTGAACAGGCCAAAGCCAGACTACAGCTCGTTCTTGAAGCTGCTGCAAAAGCTGATGAAACATTGAAAGCCAAAGAAAGAAATGAGGAAGAAGCGAAGAGAAAAAAGGAGGAAGACCAAGCCACCCTGGTAGAACAAGTAACAAGAGTAAAAGAAATTAAAGGTATTGAAAGTGATTCTTTTGTTCAGCAGTCATTCAGATCAAGTAAAGAAGTCAAAAAGTCAGTGGAACTTACTGAAGTGAAACATGCAATCTCAACATCAGGACCAGCAACAGCAGTTGCTGATTTACCCAGTATTGAGAAAGAAATAGATGCAAGCAGCATCCCTACTGCTATCAAGTACCAAGATGACAATTCTCTGGCCCATCCAATTTTATTTGTTGAGAAAGCTGATGCTAAAGAAAAGTGGTTCAAGAGGTTAATTGCGCTCCGACAAGAAAGACTAATGGGCAGTCCTATAGCCTAAGAAATACACATGTTGTTAAATTGACAGTAACATTGGGAAATTTAAGTTTTTAAATCCCAACATTAACTTTTTACTCATAAAAAGGATTTAGTTATTATATTAAAAGGTAATCTTATTTCATTCTTCTCTCATATAGGCTTGAATATTTGTTGATTTAGGCTTGAATATTTGATTTGAACTAAATCATATATTGTAAATAAAACTAGTATAAAATTTAAGAATGCATGGAAATGTTATACTGTTAATAAAGCTAATCATTAAAAAGTCAGTATTAAAAAAAAAGAAAAGAAAAGAAAAATGAATAAATGGTCCCTATGGCAGTGCAGCTTAAATACAAGCAATCATCTGGGGATCTCATTGAAATGCAGATTCTGATTCAGTAGGTCTGGGGTGGACCTCAGATTCTGCATTTCTAACAAGCTCTGGGTGATGCCAATGCTGTTGTTTGGAGGATCGCACAGAGATAACCTTCCTAATCTGAAAGGCTAATTAACATCTACAGGGGAAAATCTTTCCCGAAACTAAGAAATGGACAAACCATGTATCTGTATCAATGTTTGCAATTTAAGATATTCACTGTTAGCTGCCTTTTGGTTTTGGTCTGTATCATTTGATGCTTCTAGATTAACTGGAGCCTAATAGATCCTATTGGGGAATGAAGTTTTGTTATGCCAGTTATCAGCCAGCAATATATCCTTATCATTTGATTCTTAGATCAATTGGTTTTTATTCCTGATTGATAGCACACCTGGCATCTCAGACGAAACCACCCAGATTTCCTGTGTAGCTGAAATGAAGCTGATGTTTTAGGTCTCTGCATCAGTTTTATCTTATTACATGCTTATGTAAGCAGCCTGTTTCCCAGACAAATAATCTCCCTCCCTACTGAATCAGTCTTACCTCCTTGACGATTTCACTTCCTTGCTAGGGAGTTATTAATGATAGATAGCGTGTGCTTAAGATCAATTTGTCCAAAGAAAATTTGCATTTATTCTATGTGGCATTTATAATTTACAAAAGCAGTTTCACGTAAATTAACTCATTTGCTGCTCCAAAAACCCAGTGAATTAGATAGGGAAGATATTATTTTCCCCATTGCAGATGAAGAGACCAGAAAGTCGTGACATACAGGAACACAGCAATGTCTCCTGTCTCTACATCCCAAGCACCTTTTACTGCACCATCTGCTTTCCTACTGATGGTTCAGTGAGCATAGGATTCGAAGAGCAAAGAGTGTGTCCATGGTGTATATAAAAAGAAAAAGAGAAAAGAAGGAAGTGGGGTAAGGTTAGGACCACTTTATTAGGAGAAACAAGGAAGTAAGAGTAATAAATCAAGTCAGATTGATGGCTAGGGAAAATCTTAAGTTTCTGGTGACGTATTTCTTTACTCTGGATTCTGGTTCTACAGAATCACAACCTCAAAGATCACTGACTCACTTCTAGAATGGCTATCTTAGATTCTGCCCTAAGTTTTGGGCTCAGATAAAGTGCATTCAAGTCTAGTCCACTCATTCTATTCAAATTTCTACTGAACACTCTATAGGGGAGGAATTTCAGTAGATACAAAGATTAAAACACATGCTTTAACCATAACCAGCATATTATTTAATAGGAAGGGGCTTATTATTTCAATTACTCATGTATTGATTCATTTAAAAATATGATTTAGCACCTTGCCATATGCCAAACGCTATCCTAGGTGGAGAACAACAGCAATGATCAAGACAAGGGCCCTGACCTCAAGAACTTTACGTGGCCAGTATAGGATACAGAAACAATGGTGGGGGAGGCGGGGCTGTTTGAGTCATTGAAGAATCCCAGTGAAGAGTCAGGAAAAGTTCCCAAGAGGAAGTGACATTTAAGCTGAGCCAAGTTGAGGTGAAGGAGGAGCCCTGTATACAAAGGCCTAGAAGCAATGGAGGGCTGGTAAATGTTTAACAACCATCTCTTTGGAGGTAGGCAAGAATGCCCTAATTTGTAGATTGTGCCAATTTCCTTGCTATACTCCCAGCATGACAGACTTTAAGCAGAGATGGGAAGAGATGTGCATCATTGGCTCTCATACACTAGTACAAATCAGCTGTAGAGCACCTCTGCCTAGAAGTAAATGTGGGTGCCTCTGGGCAATTTCAAGCCAATCTGTAGGGTGGGAGTTTGGGGCAGTGGGCAGGGGAGGGGTGCAGGTAGAAAAGGGAGTGCTGGGGAGGGGCTGGAAAATGCCTACATGGCATTTTAAAGAGTTTGAACTTTATCCTGAGGTTAATATGGACTCATTGAATGGTTTTAAGAAAAGGAGTGGCCTTGTTGAGAGTTAACACCTATAGAGTAATGGGGACAGAGCCTGCTTACAATGCTCTGGAGTGTGAATGAGAAGTGATGAAGTCCACCTGGAGAGTAGACTCAAAGAGACAATATCTACAGTGAAGGGAGCAAGGAACTACAGCACTTGCTATCAGGTAACTTGAAGGCAAAGCGTTGATTCAGGAGTTGTTTAATATAAAAGAAATTTGATTATATTTAATATTCAAATGAATGACAAAGAGCCAGTGGAGAAGAGAAGAGAAGATAACTGATTAAACACATTTTATTAATGCTTAAAAAATAAGATCAGGCCAGGCATTAATGAAAAATATTTGAGAAGGGCAGGGCACGGTGGTTCACGTCTATAATCCTAGCACTCTGGAAGGCTGAGGCGGGCGGATTGCTCGAGGTCAGGAGTTCGAAACCATCCTGAGCAAGAGCGAGACCCCGTCTCTACTACAAATAGAAATAAATTAATTGACCAACTAATATATGCAGAAAAACTTAGCCGGGCACGGCAGTGCATGCCTATAGTCCTAGCTACTCAGGAGGCTGAGGCAGGAGGATTGCTTGAGCCTAGGAGTTTGAGGTTGCTGTGAGCTAGGCTGATGCCATGGCACTCACTCTAGCCTGGGCAACAAAGCGAGACTCTGTCTCAAAAAAATAAATAAATAAATAAGATTAAACACATTTAATTTAATTTAATACAACATATTTTAATTAAAAATAAATAACAGAATAATAAAAATTTAAAGATGAAAATAAGGCCAGGCGCAGTGGCTCACACCTGTAATCCTAGCACTTTGGGAGGCTGAGGTGAAAGGATCACTTAAGGCCAGCCTGGGCAACAGCGTGACCTCATCTTTATAAAGATAGAAAAATTGAAGGGTGGGGAGAGGATGGAAAAAAATAAATTTTAAAAATTTAAGAATAAATTTTAAAAAGTTTTTAAAAAAATAAATAACAAAAAAAAAATTTTTTTTTTAAATAGAAAAATTAGCCAGGTGTGGTGGAGCACGTTTCTAGTCCCAGCTACTTGGGAGTCTGAGGGAGGAGAATCACTTGAGCCCAAAAGTTTGAGGCTGCAGTGAGCAATGATTGAGGCACTGCACTCTAGCCTGGGCAACAGAGTAAAAAATAATAATAATAATTAAATTTAAATTTAATTTAATTTAATTAAAGTAAACACATTCAATGAGATTAAATACCTCTTATTAATACTAAAAAAAAAAAATCCAAAGAAGTGCTTAAAGGGCAAGACCTTTGTCTGTTTTACTCATTGCTGTAGCCCCAGTTCCTAGAACAATGTGAGGAACATTTCAAGCACTCAATAAATCTTTGCTGACTGAATGAATGTGTGAATGGATAAAAGTAACCAACAACTGGGCACTTACTTTGTGCCAGGACCATGAAAATGATTTTTATGCATATTATCCTTAATTCACAACAACCATAAGAGGTAGATGATTATCTCCCTTTACTGATTAGGAAAGAGAAGCTTAGAGAGATTTAGAAATGTGCCCATCCATAATCACACAGCTAATGAGGGGCAGACATGCAACTTAATCCAGGTCAATCTGAGTCAAAGCTGTGCTTTTAAGGACAACTATGATTTTAAGTGTCTGGCTTTTAACTATCCTATCACTCTGTCAGATTACCATATAAATACTGAAGCCTGAACCCACTCCTGGCCAATTGAATCAGAACTGCTGAAAATGGGGCTCAGGCATCAGTCTATTTTTCAAAATTTAAGGTGATTTTAATGTGCAGAGAGGGATAGGAAATATTTCATTAGATCACTTTCTAATTTGAGGTCATACATATTGTCCACCTGCAATTTTATTTTAAAGCAAAACTTTTTCAAGTACACCCAATGAAACATCTTATATTTCTTGCATATACCAGGCACACAGTAAGTGTCGTGAAATTGAAAAGTGTTGGCTATATCACTTAATCCAATACTCTTATAGAAAAATATTAAATATTTGAAGTAAAAATTGAAAACTGTTGGTTCTTTGTCTCATCAGACTAAATAGAGGAGCTAATTACAGTTAAGCATGCAGCCTGTGAAGCCACATGCCTGGGTTCAAATCCTAGCTCTAATGCTCACTAACTGTGCAACTTTCATGAAGTTACTTAACCTCTCTGTTCAGGGGTTCCCTCTCCTATAAAAATGGAGATAATGATAGTACCTAGTTCATAGGATTATTAGGATAATTAAATGAATTAAAATGTGTAAAGCACATGGAACAAGAAACATTCTCTGTCAGCTATAGTCATTATAGCCTATCTTTCCCTGCTAGAAAAAGAAGATTTTGTCAGTTTTCTTCCCAGCCATATCTCCAGTCCTTAGAACACAGCCTGCCACAATCTGGCCTCTCCACAAATGTTTGTTATTTTTGTTATTTTTATAATGAGATAATTGGTAAAATGAATGTCCAGCATTTGTGTGTATGCCACTCAAAAATACTAACTGAAACTGAAGTTCAAAATAACAATTTTGCTCATAAAGCATGTCATATCATGCTTTCAAAGGAACCATAAAATGGTTTTACGGTAAGCCACCATAAAATACAGAAACTGACAGTACCTTTTAAACATATGGTTAGACAGGTAAGCCTTGAATTTTACATATGTCATTGTCCAAATAATATTGGCCTTAGATTAGAAGAAAAATATGCAAAAATGAAAATAGTTGAATATTAAAAGTATAGGATTGCAATGATTTTTACTCTTTTCTTGGTTTTCTTTGTTATTACACCATCATCTTTTACACCATTTTGTCTCTTCTAATGTTAAACTGAGAGCAGCTTCATCTACGCTTGAGAAGGGGAAAGAAAAGACAGGAAATAGTCCAACAGTTGAACTTCACTGAATAGTTTAATGCTGCCCTTTTAAATAGCTGTAAATTTTTCGTAGAATAGCTCCAGCCTTGTGAAAAAATCATTTAGGAAGCTTC